CCATCTGGTTGAAACATCAACTTACCAACATTTCCAATGAAATCTTTATTATTCTTTGGCCGCGGGTGGTGATCAGTTATCAAGTTGATCCATAAAGCAGCAAACAGGCTGTTGAACAAATATTTAAAATTCAAAGGTTAATTTTTTTCTAAAATTATTAAGCGGAACTTTGATTTCTGGGCTTCGGAAAGACATCTTATTCGACTTCCGTTGTCTTCAAAATATTCAGGTGTATCGCTTGGAAAAGGAGTGTCCTCCTGTGAAATGGATGGTTCCAGAATGCTTCTAGAATTTTGGAGCAGTTTTTGATGTGGGCAATGTTTCGTATTCGTTTGGTAAATGCTGTATATTTGAAAATTTATGACTTTGAAGACTTTCTCTCGTTGACCTCTTCTGCTCATAATAACAAGGAAACAAAAGAAAAGAATTAATGAACCAGAGGTGTTCCCAATTCTTATTTCCCATTGCCGATAGTAATAATTTTTCGTTATCCAAAATAAATTGAATATAGTATCTGAAAGAAACAAAATGACAGCTGAAAAATGATATCTATATCACTGTATCAAAACTCTCAAGAAGAATAATTCACCTGGATTCGTGACGTCCTGGAAATATCAGAATGATTGCACATAACTGAGAATATCAATAATTAAAGTACAACATTCAACGGCGCAATATTGTATTATAGTTGAAAAAAGCCACACCTTTTGTTAACTATATTCTGAACTTTAAACTGGATGAATTACATGAGATTGAATAGAGAACGATATAATCTTGAATAAACTAAATAAATGTGAAGGCTGAAACATAAATAACAAAATCACACACTAAGAAGGAGAAATGCCTGCCTGCATGCGAAATCAGCAAAGAAAAAACGATAATTGCACTGCGTTGCAGATCGACTTTTTCTTATTCTGGTGGCTATTTTTGGAACGAGAAGCGTGTTTCAGGTTGCTAAACTTGGAATGCTGTACAACCCGAAGACATAAATAAAACAGCTATCTCAAGATGCGTCTGATTATGATTTAAGATCGCTTGCAAGGTGGTTTTTGTTCACATCGAGTTACGACGCTATCAAGAAAGTTTATGTCACTACTGTTAGCGCGGTACACAAAGAACATATTTTCTAAAAGAGACGTGGCAGAGGCGTTGAATAATAGACAAATAAAGAAAATTGAAAGCCTTCGTCTAACTTTTTTCCAAGCCATTTAAACTTATTTTCTTCTTCCACTCAGCGTTACTGAGTGGAAGTACGGTACAGCCAAGTGTTCATGATAGGCAACACCGTAGGCTGTACCATACTGATTAAGGCTGAGTAGAAAGAAACACGTGTCTGCGTTTTGTTGACTTGTCCTATAGTTCCATTTCATTTATCAATATCATATAACTCAATAGTCATCGTTCTTGTTTTTAAGCAACTGAAACCACGAATATCCAAAACAGATAGAGGTTTCAAAGGCGGTCGTTGCAAAGCCGACCTTTGACACCGACCGCCGAATAAGAAATAGGTTTCCATCTATATTTACAGCCCATAAGTATTGAAACTATAAAACTATGATCCAATACCAGACAGCACTGTGTCAACCTACCATAGGTCTCATTAATGGTACAAGATAGGATTATGGATGAAAAATTATATTCTTAACAAGAGCAGTCATAATCATCACCTCTAACTCTGCACTGTTTTTGTTGAGAACAGAAAAGTTCATGACTCGGCACAGTATCTTTGGTGAGATTTATGTAAATTTATCTGTCAGTAATAGATCCGAGCAGATACAAATCAAATTGTTGGTGATCAAATGTTCAATAAGTATGTCTCATATTTCAAGATACTAAATAACTATCAGTAAATTCAAATCCAATTCAATGCTTGTCCGTAGTCCTAAGTTTGTAAAAATTAAAAATGTAAGTCTGTTGTCAATACTTCATGTTTTACTACAGTGACAAATAGCGGGAAACTTGAATGCTTCTAAAACGTTGAAGATGTTTCTGTACTCCAGTTTGGTACTTTCAGCTGCAAATGAATTCTAGGTGAAGTTTATCGCTGTATAGAACTTCAAATATGCTATGTTTGTTCCAACTAAAATGAAGCAACTATCTCGAGTTTTGAATGTCTTTTTCTCCAAAAAATATTCGGAAAATTTTGTTCTTAGTCAGAAACTCATGGAAAAATATTGAGGTACGATAAATAGGCAGAGTCGATTGAAAAAATGAAGGAAAAAATATTTCACAATTGAAAACGGACGGATAATATTAAATATACCACTCTGTATTCCTACAGGTCAGAACCACGTAGGGTTGATGTTCTTCAAGAAACCTGTTGTCCTTGGCAATCACCCACATGTGTGTATCGTTGTAAGATGCGATAAAGACTATACCTAACACCGTAATATTCAATAATTTTGATTTTATGAAAATCGATTTTCTGGACAAGAGGATAATGGCCAGTACTACTATCGAACAGTAGTTGTTTTCCATATCATCAGTGAAGACTGTCTTTTACTGTTATTTCGAATTCTCGAGTGGTTCAGTAATCGTTTCTTGAGGAGTGTACACCGCATTTGCATTTCAACAGAGATACGATTTGTTTTCGAATGATATACAGTTAATTGCTAGTGATTGTTTTGATTCCTTTCAGTTACTCAGTAGTCTGTCTTATTGCGTAAATGGATAAAACGAAATAGGCAGGTCTACTTTTATATAATTTCTCTTAGCATAATACTCGTGTATTTCAGTCTTTGGTGGTGGAAACGAATTACCTGGAAATGAGATAATGATAAATTGTATCTCTTGAGAGGACTTTTTCAAAGCACGATACTATAAAAAGCTAGTCGTGACATAACCACACCTTTCAACTATATTTTTCTGTTTGAATTTATGAAGCTGATACTTTACCCATGAGAATATGTATTTACATTCAGAGAATGCGGTTTCATCTATTTTTTTTTGTCATCATTGGTAGCAGTTTCAGACGTTTTCGTTCTTTGTGCTAATATTAACAGTACCTAATGAGCGTACCCTTTTCCAGTGTTGATACTTTAATCATAATGAATGGGATCCTTTTATGAGGAACATATTGTCTGACTAATCAGCACTTTGGGGAGGATTGTTCAATAATTATATGCTTTAAAATATTCAAGGAGACCGTTCTTATACGTTACTTATAATTTCAATTCTAAAATTTTCCGTATTAAGGTGAAAAAAGTTGTGATTATTTTTTATACTTGGTGCTTCAAACACAAAATAATTTCGTAGTATTCATCTCAGTATCTAGGTATCAAGTTGAGTCAGGTTCTGGATAAGTTTCAATTTTAGATTATACATCTCACACACTATCTGTCAGTTTGACATAAACATTTGCCATGATGGCAAAGTCCTGTGAAATTGAAGTTTCAGTTTTCAAAAATGTTTGTGAAATGTATAACAAAATCGCTGAATAGAAGCGGAATAGTAATCTTTTCAAGTTACAACAGTATTGAAAATGGAAGATATATGGTTAGAAATGCTCCAAAAGGTTTGTGTTCGCAACTTCTGGTATGAAAACTGTCCTTTCTTCCTTTAGAACGAAATCAAATAACAGTTGGATAATAACTTTGATCATAATGATTATAACTTAATCTTTGGGAAAGTTTATGGCCTTTTACGTCTCCATCTTGGTATAGAAGGCTCTTTGCCTAAAATTAATCTCTTTCAAAAATATACCCTTTTAATTTATATAACATAACCATTATTCCAGGTATTTCATGACCTTTGTGAAATCAAAGAATAGAAAACTTTCATCACTTTCAAGATATTCGATATTTTCGTTTTTCCAAAATATTTTCCGGATGATTACAGTAATGAAAGAAATGTTCAGATCATTTTTTAAACTTTTTGGAAACTGTTTAGACAAAAGAGTAGTTCTGTAATTTTTTATATTTCGAAACAAATAAGTGCTAGTTACACAAAAGTTATACGACGTTTCAATGATTATGATATGAAACAAAAACGGAAAAAACTCAAAACTCAATACGAACCAAAAGGCATTTTGAACATAAAGAAAAGTTATATGAACTAGTTTTCAATGTGATCGGCTTACCCACTTTTTGTAGTGGGGATAGTTTTCTAAACTGTACCGAGCCTACTCCAGTGGTTCTGAAGTAGTTGAAAGTTATTTGATCATTCAAAGTTGTATAAATTCAGTCCGGCCAAAATTCGTTATGCCTTCAACTCACGACAAATGCATGAATAATGAACAATTTGTAACTCAACACTGATGCATGAATCCACCCTGAAATATTATTCACGAGTAAGCAAGCATAATTTCTTCACAAGTTTCCGATACTTTCAATAACAGCATCTTGAGATATTCATTTGTGTGCCGCCAGATGAGTATCTCTTCTGAAAGGTATTCTGTGACAGAGCCTATGTCCGAGACAGAACTCTTGGAATACATACACTCTGATAAAAATTTGTGTTTTCTCTACAATTATGAAATTGAAGAACTGAAATGTCTTCAAAAGGTAACCAAATAAGGAAAAAGATAATTTATCAATACGGTTGGTCGAAAAATAACATTTTGTTACTGAAGCAACATCAGGAACAATAGTGTCAAAGTCGAGTATCAAGTCAACGCTAGGAGATAGATCTGAAGTGACAAACTTTTCTCCTTTCGATTACGTCTCTCTCGCCCTTCCCCATCGAGGTGACAACAGCAAAACTCTCATTGCACTTGAGCGCCCAAATAGTATCTACCCCTACCCCAAGTGCCATTATTTCAGTCTATTTTCTGTTTTCTAGTTTGTTCTGTTGTTATTATTTCACAGAAATTTTAAAGAATTATTTATATCCCCCTCAGTAGTCAAACTTGCTAATGGCACAGAAGGGACTTGCATTGGCATTGAAACCTGATAAATTATCGCCCAATGATTCGATTTCAATGATATTGCCTGAGAATTAAATATTCCCCAAACTAACGTCATACAGTACAATGGTTTTTCAACGAAATGTTTTTGTTTTAGATCGAGGAGGGTGATCGCGGCCCAGAGATGACCGCGTCCCTCGGCGACAGTGGGGGTGATGGTGGCAACCATGACGCCAGCCACAATCACTCTGATGTATACACCGTGTCCGTCACTGGTGCCTACGACAACAAAGGCTTCAAAGGCGACGGCAACAATGGCGACCCAAAGAAACCACCCCGCGAAATCACGGACGAAGAAGCGTCCCAGCAAGGGAAATTCAAAATGTCCACCAAGGAGAAATGGAGAATACTGAAGAACGTCTCGGCCATATCGTGTGCATTCATGATCCAGTTCACAGCCTTCCAAGGCACAGCTAACCTACAAAGTAGTATAAACGCCAAGGACGGTCTCGGCACAGTTTCCCTCAGTGCAGTATACGCGGCATTAGTAGTTAGTTGCATATTCGTGCCAACTTTCCTCATAAAAAAACTCACCGTTAAATGGACCTTGTGCTTTTCCCTGCTGATGTACGCGCCTTACATCGGCGCCCAGTTTTTCCCCAGGTTTTACACACTCGTACCTGCTGGAATTCTCCTCGGTGTAGGCGCTGCCCCCATGTGGGCTTCCAAGGCAACTTATCTCACACAGGTAGCAGGCGTATATGCTAAACTCACGGACCAAGCTGTAGACGGTATCATAGTGAGATTCTTTGGATTCTTCTTTCTGGCTTGGCAGACGGCAGAGCTGTGGGGCAATCTCATTTCTTCTCTTGGTAAGTTCAACAAGAATATTCATCTTTTTTCATTGGATAATAACATTTTTCGAAAGTGGTATTTTTTCAAAATGAATGAAACTCAATACGGAACTATATTTTTCTTAGAAGGAAGATAGAACTGGAATTTCAGGACTTGTATTGGAAAAATGAAAATGTCAGGAGAGAGTGATTGAAAATCAGCGTGGTTTCAGAATACTATATTCTTGAACTGTTCGTATCATACAGTGATATAATTGAAATCGGTCACTGACTCAACTGGTCCTGAGGGTATGAAATTAAAATATGGAGTAGAAATAGAGAACATAACATAAAAAGTATAATCTGTTGAAGTTTAGTGAAGTTTATTTATAAATTTAAATTTGACGAAACCGCATTAAAAAAATATCAACTGATTCTAATTGAAATGAGCTAATCAAAAGAGTTATGATAATGATAATAATAATAATAATGATAGCAGCGGTGAATTGACGCAGTGGCAGTGCGCTCGACTCACGCCCTCCCGATCCCAACTTCGACCAGATATTTTTCTCAGGAGAATTGATCTACTTGAAACTGAAATGATTTTGCAACGTTACATTACTGACGAACTGCGAATGGCCATGATGCTCCCTACGTGGCTCGAGGAATTATTAACATTGCCTACCCAGAACATGAAGCCAATGCGTTCATTGCCCAACAGTTTTCTATTTATAGAACAAAAGGAACCAGATACTAAAGGAATTGCATCACACATAATACAAAAAGGGCTTTAAATCATAGTCATAACATACAAATGTGCACGAAATTTATTATTCGCCTTGCATATGCTACAATGAAAGGTAGGCAAATGGTTTCCAGTAACTACTGCACATCTGATTCACTGATGATTTCAACAATAAATTGGTTTGAGCTCTGTTGCACAAAAAAGTGATATTAGTTCTGGTTGTTGATCTTGGTACAAAAAAATCTATTGCAAAAATTAATTCCAGAGAATCAATTCTACCGTTCAACAACTTATGTAGAAAAACATGATTGTTTTTTACTTTCAAGAGATACAAGATTGAATGTTAGCAGTGGTCCGATATTATTGCAATTTCTTCGAAGATACACCTCATTTGTTTTAAAACTTAAGTATTTCAAAAACTTTCTTTTCATCTTTCAATATTTGATATATTATATTGATAATGAATGGGATTTCATATTAAGGATGCAAATTCTAACTTTGACCTTATGAAGCTGAAGTGTAGAAAAGTTAAGCGATATCATTTCATTTAAATTCTTACAAATAATTTCTGACAATAAAACTATAAGAGCGATAGGCAGAGTTAACAATAAAATCAATGTTATTATTGAAAAAAAATTGTTAATCAAAATGAACACCTAGATCCCTAATAGTGTTAGTTCTAACTAAGATAGTTTCATCGATACTGTATACAAATTGTATTGTATTGCATTTCTTGGTAAATGATACGATTTTTTATCTGGAGATAATTAAATGGAGTCAGTTTTCACCAAACCAGTAATTTAAAATGTTCAACTGCTCCTTCAATCCAGTACAGTGATTTATATCTATTGCAGTATAATATGTTGCACAAATCATTCATGAATATTAAAGAAAATAATGGCCCAAGATTAGATCCTTGAGGAACTCCTCTAGTGGAAAATAAATATATGAAGAGAAACCATTTCAGTAGACGTTCTGCTTCCTTTGACCAAGATATGGTATGAAATGATGACTATAGATTTCATTGAAACCCATACCAATAAGTTTATGAATGACAGTCGCATTACTAATTTTATCAAAAGTCGATGTACACTGCATCAATTTGGCCCCTAGGGTCCAGTTTTTCACATAAAAATTAATTGAAAACGGCCAAGTTACTGATTGTGCATCTGAAATTGATAAAACCCAATTTAAATGATTGTAAATATTATGTTTGGTTGACAAGTAAATTCGGTTATACATAATCACCTACAATTGCTTCGCAAAGTGGTTGAGAAATTAGCCTCTAGTTACTAATAACGTTACGATACTGCGCCTCATGAATTAGACAAAAATGTTCCAAGTTTCTGGAAAAATTTCCGTCTTTAGATTAAGATTGAAAAGAATTTGTAATGGATGTAACAATACACTTAAGCAGTCCATCATCAGAAATTGTGGTATTTTGTCAGGACCTGCAGTTAATTCGATTTTAAGTTTTTCACTAGCTTCAATTTCAATAATTGGCTCGGCTTTTATATTTATTGAGCAATTATGATCAAAGCTGAGAACAAAGTTTTTCATGATCATCAAGTTATTCAACAAACTACCTATCTCTCTTAAACAGCTATCAAACCTGCATTCCTTAAAAAAAATGTTGAAAAACTGTTACATGACAATACATTTTATTCTCTCAATGAATACTTCCAGGCTGATTTGGAAATATTAATCACTTGATTGCAACAATTTCGACTGTACTATTTTCAATTGTCATATTTTCAGTTTTATTTTCAATTTAATGTTATTATGTATTTGTATTCTCAATTTCCATATTGAATAGTTTAGTATTCAAACTCAACTGTTCATATTTTTTCATACTACTGTTTGATATTTTCATATCTTTACTCTTTTATGTGTGTATATATAAAATTATTTGTATTGTGAATTTCTATATTTCAGTTCAATTGACTTTTTCCATGCTGATTTGATTTGATTTGACTTGAAAGTCTTTCTACTACTCCATCTTGATAAAAAAAATGTGGGAATCTTCCGAAGAAAGGAAGGAAGCAATCAATTTTAAAAGAAGTAATTCTATACATAGATGTGTAAATCATGCAAAGAAGTAACTTTCAGACATAAACTGAAAAAAAAGTATCTGAAACAGTTACTTTCATATAAATATTGGATTACTTGAAAGACAAAATCCTTTCCAAACAAATACTTTCATACGAACACTGAATTATACAAAAACACCTTTCTCCAGTCAGTTTGTATTCCGAACATTCGTTATGGAATTAAATCAGATATCATTCACAGGATTTCTACACAATATACGAAATGGAAAGTAAAAAGTTCACTTACATGGAACATTGTCATCCTCACTGGTAGACAGACATCGATGTTTCGCCATAAAACACTTGCCGTAGGGCTCTTCAATACCAATCTGGATAATATGAGAAAAAACCAAACTATTCATTCATAAATTACGATTTTTTATGTCACGGAAAAAGTTTGATCTACTTATGTCATTTATGACATCGTAATGAAATCAAAACTGATTCCCACATTTGTTTGTATCAAGATGGAGAAGTAGAAAGCCAAAAACTTTCATTCCCAAAAATTAGTCACTCCTAAAAATATAATCCTTTGAATATAAAGTTATCATCTTCCGTTATAGGTAACGAATACGCGCCCTCAAAAAAACTATCAAAAACAATGTTTCTGATATTTTGTAAGAATTTTGATAAATTAAATAATTTACCATCCAAGATAATACTTTCTGAAATTCTCGTAGCGTTATTTCTGTTATGAACAAATGCCCAGAACGTTTGGGGGTTATCTATTAGTGTTTGTTCAATATTTTGCAAAAATGCGTCACTAAGTGATTCCTTGATATTTCGTCTGAACCTGCAAAATTCATCATGATTATAGTTGTAACCAATACTTCTGTACTTTCATTTGTAAATTGTGCATTTTCTTTTCAATGAGTTTTTTTAGTTCACGTGTATACAAAATCGGTTGAACATTTTTGAAATTTCTTGATAACGGAGAGCACTTAAAATTCCATAAAACTTATTGTAGACGTTTTCAACGCTATCACTTACATCAACTAGGTTGTCCAAGAAATTCAATGATCCGTCAGTGTTATTCAAATTGAAGTTGTCTCGTTTTGTGAAAAGAATACAGGGATCAATAGATATAGATAAATGAAAAAAATCTTTGTTGACCAGTGCTACAGTTCCGCGGCATACATTATAATCAATATTGCTCGATACCAAGCTAATATTTTAGTATAATCGTTCAAAGGATAATTATATTGTTTCACATCCAAATAAGTCATTATATTTATGATAATGGTAGTTTTTCTGTCTTCTAAATTGTTTTTAATAAAAGAGGCACAAATAATGTCACCCAAAAAATAATAGTTTTATCTGAATAATAAAATGAAATTGTCAAGAGGTAGAGAAGGTGGAATGTATACGATCAAGGCCGTCGCCATGGGGCGGAGGGTATGGGGGGGAGCGCCCCCCCTGCTTTTTCGACTTGGGAAAAAGTTCGGAAATTTTGGGCAATGAAGATAGAAAAAAATAATGGTAAAAAAATGAAAGAAATTCTGAGTTGTTTGAAAACTTCAAAAAAGTTTAATTTCTCCCAAGTAAGAGAACAGTCCTGAACAGTCCACAAATTTTGAAGTGACAATTTTACAAAATTCCCAACTTTTCGCTGTTTTTTCGACTTGGAAAAGTTGGTAAATTTCAGGCCGTGAAGATACAAAAAATAATAGTAGAAAACAATAAGCACAATAATATTTAAGTGTTGTTTCCTTTCATTTGTATTGGATATTCCTATACATGGTGGATATGGTGGAAGACCAAGGACCTTGGTCCAAAGTAGAATAATTCCCATTATTATTTTTATAATTACCAAAATTTATTTTTGTTTGTGCATACCCTAACGGGCATAAGCATTCAGATCCAGCCAATCTTTGGATAGCTAAGTAGTAACTAATCCCTCGGCTTTCATTTTTTCGAAAGTTGGAAAATTTTGCTGGTGGGGTTGGGAAAATTTGAATTCCTTTTTCCCCCTGGTGTTTCTTTCCACTACGGCCCTGTATACGATGACTACAAACTAACAAGTCTATTTCATTCTCCAGAATGAAAAATGTACCCATTGTGAGCAGTATTAACACAAAATACAATATTATTGTAGAATTTCTGAAAACTTGCTAATGAATAATTCATACGTATTTTTGAAAATCATTTATTCCAATGAGTTTTTCACACAGAAGAATTTAATGGAACTGACGAATAAATAATCTATAATCAATACTCTCATATGGTAGAAGTAAAAACTTGTATATGTCGACATACATTAAGCATGAAACTGAAACTGATAGTTGAAAATATTTTTAGAAACTTCTATGCATGCTCTAAAATAAACGTTTAAATTAAGTAACATGTTGTATTTCTTATTATCTGCAAAGATGAATCTCAAAACAAAATTTCTTCATATCATATAAATTGTGTAATGTAATAAATTATTGGGTTTGATTTGATTTAAAGTTTATTTTCATCTTTTTATAGTATGCTTTGAAAAGATTGTTTTTGAACATTTTTCTACACTATTAATTTATCTTCAATTTTCAGTTCCTCAGTCTTTTATTTTAATCAAGAAGTCATTGTTGTATGGTTGGCCCCCACAATATTTATTCAAGGCCACCAATTAATCCCCACCATCTTAGGTAGTCCGCCATATTGAATTTGAAGTGACATCATGGGCCTAGTCCGCCTCACGGATAGTCCGATATATCTGCCTCTAGTAATGTTTTTCGTAGTTTCCACTTCTGCAAATGCTTTCATTTAAAAACCAAGATACGGGGGTGCATAAAAAACTAGTCATAATATTTTTCGAATTATTTTCGTGAAACCTTTTCGTTTGATACCCAAATTATAGACATTGTCATTCAAACCATATAAGTTTCAAACGCTTGTAATAAAATTTATCGATTGTTTTGTATACCGTCTCTGATCATGGATATATATTCCTACTAGCCGCATCCATGTAAATCATATTTCAAAATTGGAATTTTCATTCCATGAAGACTGATTATAGTCAGTATAATTATTATTTTACATATCATAGTTATCAGTTTAAGCCCTATTGTTTTCAATGGTTTTGCTTTCCAAATTGCAGCTTTGTTCTTTCAAACAGAACTTTTATTTTATCTACGAAACATTCGTCGAGCAATAATATATTTTTTCTGTTGAAGTCTTCTTAGAGAACTACTGAAGTCGTCTTGGAGACGAAAAGGACATGACTCAAAAATGGTATATGAACATTTCAAAAACACCACAAAAATTAAACTTACACTGTTATTATCCCCATGAATATTCTGAAACATGTACAATGTAAATTGATCACTTTTTAATTTTGAATATGTTCATGTTTGGGACGAGTGAATCAGAAGAAATAAAAAAAAAAACCTGTTTGTTTCGTCTTACCTTTTTCTTCTTAATTAAACATCTTTGAGTTTGAATAACTCAGTGACCTTTCAAATGCGTTATTGATGGAACATAATTTGTTTCAAAAGGATTTTAGAATCTGAAATCAACTCTTACTGATATTCGAATGAATAACTATGGTCAGATAATGATGGTCAGATAATCCTTGAATATCCGTACTTTTCGGTATTGCCAATAATGAAGACAGCCACGCTCAATTAGAATTTCAATACGTGATTAAGAAATAATCAAGGACAGAGAGTATTTTTCTATAGTTTTTTTACTTCCGTTTAAGTAATGATATAACTTGAAAAGTCAACAAGTAATTATTGTTCTATTAGTGCCTGTTTATTCATTGTATACCGCAACACAATGGTTTTCTATTTGCACAAGAACTGCTTTAAATCAAAATTTTATTGTGGTTTATTGAATTTCCAAGGTTTGACATTCTGTCTTGTAGATATTATGTGATTATACTGTGCAGTACAACTTCACTGCCAATTTTCAAGGAAAATACTAAAGAATATTACTGGATTTTTTTCCCAACACCAAACCGTTATTTAAACACCTCGACATGAATATGATCACTTGGTGAACGAAACACGTGTCGAAATATTAAAATAACGGTTTGAGATGTTGGGAAAAATCTCCAGTAATATTCATTACTACACCAAAGATTCCAAACAGTGCATCACAAGAAATTACTAGAAATACGTCCATTTATAAACGATCTCGGCCTACCCAAATTTTCTGAATAGAACGGAATGTGCAATATATTAGTTGAAACTCATTTCTATTGTGCCTCCTGTCATATAGTTTTTTTTTTATAATAAGGTTGCTTATTACATGTATTACATTCACTCAATAATTCATTAATTTACTTCACTGTTGCAATAACATTGGAAATTGAAAGTTTAAAATCATCAGAATTGAAGACAGCAAGAGATGTGTCTAGAGTAACTTGGTCAATTTGCTACCTAATTCAGGTGGAGGGAACGAGCTGGCCGTTCTATTTTACAAGGCCTGTCGATCCTTAGTTTTTCAAAATCTTAATAGGCTTGACCTTAAACTGAGAAATGTCTGAAGATCCATATTATCAGCACTCAATTTTGTTAGTATCACCAGTAAAAAGGTTTTAATGTTAGATAATGTTAAAAATTATCGTTTACAAAGGTGACAAAAATATGATACAACTATATAGTATTTCCTCAAAAAACGACATACTCAATATTCACATTTCGGATAAATCTTGTCTAATCGCTTTATGTGGATTCTCTTCGATACCGGTTAATATATCTTTTTATATTGTAAGGAAGACCTTACCTGATTTGGAAATATTTTCAAAATATTAACATATCACAAAAATTCTGTTCAATTATGCCCAATGTGGATTTAGAGATCTGAACTATTTATTCGACTAAATGACACCGAAATCAGAGATCGGTATTCACCCTGTAAACGCTGGACCAAATATGTAATCATTTTTTTATGTTATCTGCTCTGAATATTACTAGAGTTTAATCCCAACACAACACCGTCATTTTTAACACCTCAATACGTGTTTCGATCATCAAATGATCACTAAAGATTAAACTAAATATACTAACAACGTTGTCCTTATTTATACCATATATACCTCTGCTAGGTACCTGCGTCTTAATTGCCTTGATTGAAGTATTATTTCAATAAGCTATATAGTATACTATTAGGTATTGGTCCATCATCGTCATTCATAATATTATTATGTTTACTTATTTCTAGAGAAACTCTTAGGCATCAAGATGCCTTGGATAGCTAATCTTAATGAACTAAAGTCTATGGAATGGTTTTGTTGCAAAATATAATGGGCGACTGCTGAGTTTTCAGGTCTTTCAAATTTTAGGTATGCTAAGTGTTCCTTATATTTATTTTAATAGATCTTTTTGTCTATCCATAATATTTTGCATCGCAGTCCCTACATTTAATATCATTAATTCCAGACTTTTCCGAATTCCCGTCTTTGTACTTTGTCCTAAAAGGCTCTATAGTGTATGAATTGTTTCAAATACCACATATCTAATTCCTTGAAAATATTTCCAAAGATTAAGATTAGTTAGACAAGTTGATAACAA